CGGAGGGGGAGCCAGCACCGGGCCCCCCCCGCCGTTACGGCTCCCGCCTCCCTTCCGGCGGCGGCTGCTTCCCTGCGCCGGGGGCGGACCGGAGCGGAGCCGAACCGAACCGAGCCGAGCCGAGCCGAGCGAGGTGGGTGCGGGGCCGGGCCGAGCCGGGCCGGGGGCGGGCTCGCCGTGCCGCAGAGCCCGGGGGGGCCGGGCCCGGCAGGCGGGCACGGGCACGGGGACCGGCCCGCCGAGCCTCCCGGGGCCGCCGGCTTATGTAACGGGGCGGCGGCCGCGGGGCTGCGACAGGCGGCATGCGGGATGCGGGATGCGGGATGCGGGATGCAGGGGCAGGATGCAGGGCTGAGCGGTGCTTCCCTAGCAGCCGCCGGCAGCTCTGAGGCCGGGAATGGCCGCGTCCCTCCCGGGCTCTGCCGCGGGGCTCCCTCTTGGCTGCCTGGCCCTCGCTTGCGTGGGGGTTTCTCCGGAGCGGGGAGGAGCATCCTGGGCCCCGGGTTGCACCCGCTGGAGACTCCTTTGCAGCGCTCTGTGCTGGGGAGCTGGGTACCGCGCCGCACTCTCGGTGCCCATCTCCCTGTCTCCCTTGTCCATCCTTCCTCCCCTAGCTGAGGCCAGCTGCTCATGAACCATCCCCACTGCAGTGCCTCTCCATGGAGCTCTGATCCCGCAGGCTCCAGCCCCTCTCCCCACCGCGCTCTGTGCTCTGTCCTGTCCCCTGTCGCGGCCGCAGCGCGCGGGCAGGTGGCTGCTTTGTGCCAGGCCTGGCAGCAGCTGCCGGAGCGGGGCCACCCACATGGCACGAGCGTGACCAGGCAGCCGCGGCCCGAGGCTGTTGGCGTGGTGACTCACAGGAGCAACGCAGGGCTTGGACCTTTGCTCAGGACAGAGCGGAGCTGCTCTGCGCGCCCAGCTGGGCTCTGGCAGCGGCGGCAGCCGCCAGCTGAGGCGGGTGAAGGAGCCTGAGCAATGTGAGGCAGATGGGGGTCCCAGGGTTGGCCAACGTATGGAAGCAAAGGATGGATGGAGGCTGAGGGCGCAGAGAGGTGTCCCTGCTGCAGAGGCAGCCCTTGTCCCCCACTAAGAATGCAGGGCCCTAGGACAAGCCTAGGGACATTTCCCTGAGCTCCAGCATGGCCAGGAGAAGCAGAGTCCATGGCCGATGGCACCGCTCCTGGCGTGCCAACCCTGTGTGTTCCTGGGGAAAACGGGGAGTGCTCAGCTGAGATAAACTGAAAAATGTCTCAAAGTCTCCCTCGGCTGTGGGTTGTGTGTTTGTTTCTTCGTCTGGCTTGCGCGGTGACATTAGTATTGAAATGACCCTCATAGACAGAGCTATTAACACCTCGCAGAGCTGGAGGACGATTGCGGTTCGCACCTTAGCTCTTCCCGGCACTTCTGTAGCAGCCTGCGCCAGGCACCGCGAGCCGGGCCCTGTCCCGATCATCTGGGAAAGGAGGGAAGCTTCATCGCATTTCCAATCACGATTTTAGCACCCGAGCTGTGAAGTCCCGGCTGAGGTCAGGTACAAACTGTCTGTCTGGGGAGAAGTCACCTGGAGAAGCGCTGATCCTGCCGGGAGCCGCAGCCCGGCCTGCTCCCGCCGCTCACAGCCAGGCCGGCGCACGTGCAGGGACGTGCAGGGCACCCAGCCAGTGGCTCTGCCTCCACCAAGCAGCTCCAATGCGTGGCCATCACAAGCTCCCCAACAGTCCAAAGCTGCCCTGGGCAGAGCTGGTGGCTCCGGAGCTCATCTTCTCTGGAAGCAGCGAGTCCCGGCTGCACTGCGGCTCCGCACGCGATCCCTGCCACGAGGCCGCTCCGGAGCGGGGCCGCCGTCACAGGAGCTGGCTCCTCGCCTCCAACCTGCGTTTATTCCTGGCCGGACCTGCCCATTTGTTCTTATGCCAGCATCATCCTTGAGTTTAAACGCGCTTCCTCCCTCTCTGGTGTTTACTCGCCGGGTGTATTTATAGAGAGCAATCAGGCCTGCTCAGCCAGGGTAAACAAGCAGCGCTCCCGCGGGCGCTCTCGCGTGAGCGCTCCTTCTGCCCGCGTCCCGGGAGCCTTCCCGGCCACCGCTCCAGCTCCGCAGGGTGCTCTGGACCGCGGGGCCCGCACTGCACACCCAGGGCTCCCCAGCCCACTCCCCAGGCCCTGGCATTTCGCTGGTTCACCTGGTACCACCTCGAAAGACGCTAGGAGCCCTGGTTGCCTTTCCTGTGCTCTTTTGTCCTGCAGGTGCCTGGTTCTCTTGCAAACACCCAGTCCATCCGGGTCCTGCCCCTTCTTGGCTGTTTCCTGCACCTTTCTCATGAAATCCTCCACAAATGCTCAGAAATATTGTTCATCTTTGTCAAAGGACTGCGCTCAGGGACTGTATGACCCAGGCCTGTGCTGGCTGGGCTGGCAGCGTGAGCTTTCGAGGGCAACGAGCAGCACCGCAGGGTCCTGCACGGCAGGAGCGGGTTGGGACACTCATGCTTATCCCGCTCCGCTGAGGCTGCCGGAGCGCCCGGGCTGTCCGGGTGCTGCCGCCAGCTCTGGAGCCAGCCCCGAGCCGGTGCACTGCAGCTGCGGCACATCCGTGCGGGTCAGCCCTTCCGAGCACACAGGGGAGCGGGGCCGCAGCTCTGGGCCTCTGAGCGCAGCTGCAGACCTGCCTGCCCCACTGCCCAGGAGCCGCGGACTCCGTGTGCCGAGGGTGCTCTGGCCTCCAAGCGCTCACACCGACGTCTCCAAGCGGCTCCTTGTCTTGGCCAGTGCAGCCCCTCACTGCCAAGCCCAGAACCCCATCCTCACTGTGGGACAAGGCGAGATCCGCATGGAACGTGGAGCTGGAGAGGCTGCAAGGAGCTGGGATGTGTGCCAGGGTCTCTCGGACGTGGGACTCTGCCGGGGAGTGTTCCAGGAATGACACCCTGAGCCGCAGGCGTCCCGTCACAGAGAGGCAGGATGGTGCATTGGGCCGCAAGAAGCATGCAGAGATGTGGGGCAGAGCCTCCTCCTGCCACGTGCGGCCGGGCATTAACCTCTCGGGCATTAACCTCTCCCTGGGCACCGTGTCCTGATATCCCTCAGCTGGATAAAACCCCGCTGCTGCTGGCCCCCAGGGAGGCACTGCGGGAGCTGGGGCACAGCTGGGCACAGGCCGCCCTGCCCCGCTCTTTCTTACTCCCTTTGCATCATCCCTGTGTCCGGGTGCTGGGACAGGCCCAGCGTTCGTGCGAGCAAGTGCAGCACGGGATACCGGCAGGTCCTGCCATTGCCGGGAAAATGCTCCTTTCTGGCCCAGGATAAAAAGGCCGTGTCCACGCTGTGCTCCCCGCAGGACCCCAACAACACTGTGAGGACCCTCTGCACCTTCTCAGGGTGCTGGCACACCCGGGCAGGGCATCCCTCTGCTCTCCCTGCTCCCTGGCATTGCAGGGAAGGCAAAGGATGGATTTACACCCTGTGATGTATCCAGCAGAGCAGGGACAGATCCTGCCCTGCTCAGCACCGGGCTGCGGGTAGGAATTGCCCCCCCAGCCCCGTATCCCTGCCGTGCTGCTCCATCCCGTCCTGCCCCGCTCCGGCGGCTCCCTGCAGCCCGAGGCAGGCAGCAGGCATCCCCAGCAAAGGTCACCTTCATGCTGCTATTGAGCCTGCTCCAGGCTGAGCTCTTGGCTGTATTTCCCAGGGAAACAGCCACCTCCGGGGTCCTGCTGTGTCCCTCTCAGCCTCTCTGCGCCCTGGAGGGGCTGAGGTGCCTCCCAGAGCTGTCACATCCTGCTCATCCCCCAGGACGGAGCTCCCCGGGCCTGTCCCCACACCAGGGCTGTGCCCGGTGCCAGGGGCTGGGAGCTGGTGCTGGGATTCGGCCTCACGAAAGCTCCATGCCCGGGCATGACCTGCTCCCTCCCCAAACCTGGCGCTGCACGGGCTGGGCTGACGATGCCTTCTGCCTCCGGGACCGGGACAGCTCTTCCTGGCTCTCTAATGCCTTTAAAAATGCAGCCTCCATCCATTAGAGCCCATGCTCCTCCGCTGTCGCTGTTTAATTGTGTTTGGCCCTGGCTCCCTCGGGTCATTTGTTTATCTACAATTTGCCAAGTCCTCCCTCCTTCCCCAGGGCCGCAGCAAAGACTTTGTCACAAGTTTGGATGAATTTGTGACATCCCCACGATCCTCCTTCACCCAGAAAACACCCCTGCAACGCCCCTGCTCCCGGAGGGGCTGTTTACAGGCTCCTTTCGGGTGTTTAGAGTTGCTAAAAGCCAGTGATGATCCCAGGGGCTGGTTGCTCAGAGAAGGCAGTGGTGGGAATGGCTGGGAGATTCCCGGGACAAGTGATGTTCTTACAGTGACGGGATGGAGGAGGCGGCTCTGGACCAGTCTCGGCATCACTCACCTGCATAAAAACTGCCTGGAGCCCTTGCAGAGCTCGGGTAGCACCCCCAGGTCTCCCAGCTTGTAGCTTGTCAGGGGGCATTTCAAGGGCATTTAGGAAAGGGACAAGGGGAAAAAAAAGAAAAAGTTTGCTTAAGTTCAGCTGAAGTCGGAAGGAAAGGAGAAAAGCCCTCAGCTTGCCAAGACCTCGTAAGGGCTTTTGTTTGCCTGCTTGTTTTAACTTGCAATTACCTCCTCTCAGAAAGAAATTCATCATGTGAAAGCTAAGGAATGCAGAGTTAATATGAAATTTTAAAACCCTCAAAGAGTTGAGAGCCCTGTAAATATTTAATGGAGGCGTCCAGACTGCCGCGTGTCTGCAGAGACGGCGGGGCCGCTGTCCCCAGGCCAGGAGAGGTGCCCCGCGCCGGGGCAGCCCTGCACAGGCTGCTCCTTGTCACGCAGCCGCTCCTCATGCCCCCCCGGTGCTCCGGCCACCTTGGTGGCCTCAGCTGCGTGTCCCTCTCCTGGTGCGCCCCGGAGCGGAGCGCGCAGGGCCCCCCGGGCAGGCTCGGGCGGCGGGTGCGCGGACGCTAACGCTGCTGCCGTGCCGTGTCCCGCAGGGCGCCGCGCCGCCTGCGATGCCCAGCCGCCCCCGCTGCCTTCGGTGCTGAAGCCAGCAGACGCCCGGCGCTGCCCGCACCCAGGTAGGTGCCACGCGGGGCTCCCCGCGGCGAAGGGACGCGGCCGGGGGCGACGGGACAGGAGCCGCAGCGGGCAGGTTTGGGGCACCGTCCTGCCCCGGGCATGGGGCCAGCACGGGATTTTTGCCTTTGCAAGCGCCCAGATGGGAAAGGGACTTCAAATCCTGCTGAAAACAGTTGTTTTAAAGCCAGAGCTGCTGCAGAAATTGGGGAGACACTGGCATCGTGGCCTTCAGTTGGCTCCATCATGTGGGGACTGGAGCATCGTGACCCCCTGGGAGGTTGGGCAGAGCAGGGTGGCATCGCCAATGTCCCTGACACACTGTCCCTGCCCGATCTCTTGCCATAGCAGAGCAGGGTGCTCACTGCGGGGTGCAGGATGAACCACACCGGGGTCCCCGTGCTGGCCACATGTCCACAGGAGAGGTGGGAGGGATGTTGGGTTTGTGGCACCTTAGACATGTTGAATCCCAGAGGCCTAACTTAAGGGCAGGGTGCTGGCACTAGGACGCCACGGCCCTGCTGCTGCGTCCTCTTTGACGAATCCAGAACGAACTGTGAGCTCGCGCTCTGCGCTGTTCCCCTCCGTGACTCGGGGATGCTGATAAACCCCAAGGCTTTCCTCAGGGAGTGGGCACCCAATTCCCACTGCAATCCCGAGCCCGGCAAAGCGGCCGCCGGCACCGTGTGCTCCCAGCTCCGTGCCCGGGCGGCCGTGCGGCCGCGGGGCTCCCGGGCTGCGGGAGGGCGGCTCCCGCCAGCGCGCCTTCATATACAGCGTTGGGGACGTCGATGCTATAAGTACCTGCTGTGTGGGCAGCAGAGAGCAGCGTAGGTGAGAGCAGCGCGGCTGAGTGCGTGGTGGCTTTTAGGGGGAGCTGGCACGCAGCCCGCGCTGCGCAGAGGGCCGGGAAGAGGCTGCATGAGGAGCCCAGGGGGTCACAAACCACCCAGGGAACCGGCTGTACCTGCAGGCTGCCCAAACCCGCCCCCCGAGCCTGCGGAGCGGGATCGCTGCTCCCGGCGTGGCCAAGCCCGGATGAGCAGCGAGGGGCTGCAGTGGCTCCGTTTAATAATGCAAGGCACAGAGAGGCCGGACGCTGGCTGTGCACCGGCAGCCACCGCCGCAGCGCTCGGCCGCTCCGGCACCGCCGGCACTGGGGCAGAACAGGGACGGGTGCCCTGGGCTCTGCACGGGGAGCAGGGGCAGCCAAGCCAGCCTGCAAGTGTGTGTCCTGCAGGGAAGTCCTGCCCACTTCCTGGATATCTAGGTACTCCCAGGGGCGTTCGTGCCACTCCAGGGATGCTGCCAGGCAGGAGAGCTGGGAGCCCCGTCACCTCCTTCCCTGGCCCCCTTAGGCCCCTTTCACTGTCAGCCTCCCTGCTGTATTCCCGGAGCACCCGTGGCCTCGGGAGGAGCTGGGCACTGGCCCAGGAGGTGCAGGCACCAGGTTGCAAACAGCTCCTGCAAAGGGCCCCCCGGGGGACACACATCCCTAATTGCGTGCGGTGCCGCGATCCGGCCCCGCCGACCATCTGGCGCCCATCTCCACAGCACCCACCTGCCAGTGCGCACTGCAGCCTGGCACCACGGAGCCGGGCACCACGGAGCCGGGCACCACGGAGCTGGGCACCACGGAGCCCATCGAGAACAGGGCACTCGACTCCACGCTGCTGGTGCCGGCAGCCACAGTAGCGCTGCCGATGGGCTCGTGCCCATCACGCTGGCGGGTCGGTGAGGATGATGCCGGTGGGCCCATCACAGTGGTGCAGAGGAGCAGGGAAAGCCACAGCCGCTGGCACAGGCCGTGAGGGCGGTTGGTCGCGCAGGGCACAGACAGCAGCTGGGCATGAGGGTCCCCCATGCAGCCAGCAAAGCCCCCTGCCCGGGAGACACCAAGGGATGCCCAGGGCTGGATCCCGCTGCCTCGTCCCAGGCAGCAGGGCGCATGTGTGCCATGCAGCTCCTGCACAAACACCCCGATAGCCGTGGCCTCAGCGGGGAAGACATCCCATGCTTCGGGCACATGGGGGCCGGGCGAGCAAGGCTCCCTCCTCCTCTTCCTGCCAGCTGCTCGGCAAAGCGGGGAAACAGCCCTTGTTCTGGGAGCTGCTCCCAGACCAGAAATCAATCCCTGGGGAGCAGGAGGGAACGCGGTCAGGCTGTGACACAGCCTGCGGCCCCCAGCACCGCTTCCCCGCCGCTCGCCAGCAGCCTTTCAAACTAAGCGCCAGCTCTAACCAGGGACAGAGCGTCGCCCGGCGCGGGGAGGGCAGCACAAGGTTATCGGCTCTCGCGGCATCGGGCCAGCAGGAGCCTTGCTGCGAGACTGGCTCCGGGGGCCAATTCGGCTCCGTGCTGCCCGCGGGTCCCTTCTGCACTGTGCGGTGTCACCAACGGTGACAGCGGCAGCAGCCGGGGCTGGCAGCCCCTGCTCGGCCGTGGGCCGAGTGTGCTCGTGCTCAGCTGCTTGCGCGAGCGGGCACCTCCCGCGCTGTCCCCGTCCCTGTCCCCGTCCCTGTCCCCGCCGGGGCCCCGCGAGGGCCGCGCTGCCGAGGCTGCAGCTGCCGGCGCTTTGTGCTGCCTCTTCCCCTTCTCGCCGCTGCTGTTTTTGTTTTGTTTAAGAGGCTGGGTTACGAATTTTAAACAGGCTCCTGAAAAACCCAATTACCTCCAGAAGACAACCTGATAAAAGCCGCCTAAGTGGCACTGTGGAAATCGCCTTGTGCAGCAGCCGAGGGAAAACCAACATAACAAAGCCTTTGGAAATGAAGTTAACCACTTTTAATCCCTTGGCGAGATGAGGAGGGCCAATAATGATTTTCTGTAAAGATCAGGCCAGGGAGAGGGGGGAATAAATAAGTGCCCTGTGCTAATGGGCAGCAGCAGGACAGGGCGGCTGCGGCGCGGCACGGGTGGCTGCAAGCGCAGCCCTGTGCAGCTTCGCCCATGGGTGCTGGCACCGCGTGGGGCCTGGGAACAATGGCAGGGTGGCAGCGCTGTCCCCTGTCGCGTGCTGGGCAGTGCCGCAGCGGCCCCGTGCCCTTTCCCTGAGCGCCGGCGGGAGGGAGGTGCTGCCAGGGCCCTGGCACCGGCGCTGGCTCCATCCCTCCCGCGCTGTCCCTGCGCCCCGGCACGGAGGCGCCTTGCAGCACTTGGCAGCACTGGGCACTTCCTCCTCCATCTGGCCACGGTGCTGCCCCCCCTCCTCTCCCTTCCCTTCTCCTCCCTTCCCACTCAGCTCCACACAGGCACCTGAGAATCACAGTGCCTCCCAGCTGCCCCGTGGAGCCAACCCTGGTGCCATGTGGGGCACCCACGCCAGGCACGAGACCCCGGCCCTGCAAACATCCTCCCGAAGGGCGCCGGAGCAGGGAGCCACGCTCGGCTCTGGGACCCCCAGGCCCCTCTTGCCACGTACTCCCGGTCCTGGAGCATCCACGGGCGGCGGAGCAGAGGAAAAGTGGGTGCCGTGGGGCCAGGCTGGTGCCCGGGGGGGGCAGCCCGCCTGCCGCGGGCGCTCTGCAGCACCGACAGCTGCAGCGCCGGGGCGGTCGGCCGCGCCGACACGGAGCCTCGTGCTTCTCGCAGCAGCAGGAACGGGGGCCGGGGCGGCGGCGCCCACCTACCCCGCGGCCTCAGCGCCTGGTCCCCACTGAGGGGTGGCAGCTCCCAGCGAGGGCCGCCCGGGGGCAGAGCCCGGCCCGCTGGAGGCTGCTGGGGGAGGATGCGCTTCCCAAGCCAAGGCGTCTCCAAAGCCTGCAGGACTCCAGGACCCATCCCAGGAACAAAAGGAGGCGTTTGTCAGGCGCTGAGAGACGGGCTCGTTAATTCCTCCTGGCTGTCACACTTATCTGTAATGAATTTGCGCTCCGCTGTATTATTTTTAATACAATAGGAGCGGTGCCGCCCGCCCACCGCCCGGCTGCCGGGAGCGCTGACGTCAGCGCCCGGAGCGGGGCTGCCGCGGGACCCGCGGACGGACGGACGGGCGGGCGGGCGGATGGGACAAGCAGCACCGTGGACGGTGCCCGCATGGCACAGCCGCCACAGGTAGTGAGGCCACACGGGAGCTCGAGGGGCATCTAGGGGCAGCTTTGGTGCCCTCACAGTGGAAAAGGTGACCGTGGGCAGATGCCAAAGTCTAGGAAGGACGTGGCCCGGTGCAGTTGGGCTGCGCTCGGCGCAGGGGGTCGTTTGGGGAGGCCAGAACGGGAGGCGAGCGGGAAGGCCGTGTCCTCTCCACGTTTCCAAGCCAAGACTCGTCCTTGATGGAGCCAGGGATTCAGGCACAAGTTTGGTGCTGAGGAGGCTCTGCCTGGGCCACGTACCCCGCGCAGGGCAGGTGCTGGTTCCGCTTGTGCCACCCCACAGTGCTGGGGGGCACAGGGCTCTCCAAGCAGCCCCGACGTCCTCCAGCAGCTCTCCTGGCTGGAGCCACTGGGTGCAAAATAACAGTCCTGCCCATGGCTGCCTCCCGGCTTCGCTAATCTCATTTGCGAAGGGCTGCTCTCCTTGTTAATAATCCCGGCGTGGATTAATTAGGAGGCACCAGCGCTGCCCCGGGCGGCTCTGCTGCACCCGGCCCAGCCCCTCTGCAGGGACCAAGGCCACACCGGGACCCCAGCACCCCCGGGCCTGGCCATGGGGAGCAGGACGAGGATGGGGGGGGGGGCTTGCCCCTGCCCCCCCCAAAACCACAGTGTGCAGCCTCTAAATGGCAGCTATTAGAAGAGGGCCCGAGGAGATTCATCAGGCACTGTAATAACTCCTGCAGCCGGCCCCGCGCCTCCGCGATCGATGCAGCCACCGTCGCGCGCCCGCAGCTCAGTTCGGGGACCAGGGGACAGAGGGGACACGGGTGCGGAGGGGACATGGGTGCCCGGGTACATGGGGCCGGCAGCGACGGGGCCATGTCGGGCACCTCTCTGGTTGCTGTCAGGGTGAAGCGTTAACGGGGTGCGCGGGGGGCAGCACCGGGGGCTCCCCGACACCGGGGGGAGCTGCGGGCGCCCCGGGGCATCTCCCGTCGCGGGGGGGGTCCCCGCGGCGC